CCACTCCCCCTGCTTGTGTTCCCTCTCTCACTGTGTCTCTCTCTGTCAAATAAATAAATAAAATCTTAAAAAAAATAAAAAAATAAAGATTTATTTATTTATTTTAGAGAGAGACTGAGCGCACACATGAGAGAGAGCACAAGCAAGGGGAGAGGCCCAGAATCTCAAGCAGACGCCCCGCAGAGCCTGACCAGGGGCTCGATCTCACAACCCTGAGATCAAAACCTGAGCCGAAATCAAGAGTCGGCGCTTAACCACCCCGGCGCCCCGAGGACCCAAATATTTCGTATAAACATTTGAAGTTGTTTGCACTGCTTTTCCTCCTTCCTCCTTCCCCTAAAATCTCCAGCAAAATTTATTCTCCTTGGTGTCAGTTCAAGAGCAGTATGTGAAAAATAAGGAAGAGCTTGAGTTTCAGCTCTGGGTCAAGGTCATAGGCGGTGAAGCAAGACCCCAGAGGGTTTTGCAAAATTCTAGAGGCCAGGACTTCCAGGGCAGGGGAGTCTAGTGAGCTGAATGATCTCCTCCAGCCAGGCAGGGCCTGGGAGGCCCCAGCTGACCCTTACTGCTCATGCACAAGTATTTACGAGGATGTGGACGTGCAAACATGCTCTGCCTTCCCAAATACAGGTGCAAGCACACACACATCCCTTCTAGAACGTGCCGCCTCCTCTGCCATCACTTCCTCTTAGCCTCAGCCTACCCCGACTATGGAAGGGGGATTCGGGGCCTGCAGGGCTGCGCTGGTCTGGGCCATCCAGGGGCAACACTAGCAGCTCCTGGGGTGGGCAGAAAGCACTCCGGTGGCTGGTCCCTGAGTCACAGGCTGCCCTTTCTCTCTGAAGAACCAGGATGTGAAAGTTACCTTGCTGCCTTTCACCTGCCTTCTTCCCCGGAGGGACTTTGGAATGACTCAGCTGCATCCGCCCCAGACCCTGCTGAATAGAGCCAGGAAGCGCCCCCCTTCATTGGTCTGGCAGGGGTCTTAGGCCACCTGGAGCTGAGGGGAGGCTGCCGGGGGGCAGGAGGGATAGGCTAGGTATGGTCAGTCGGCTCTCTCGACTCTATGGCCCAGGGTGGGGAAGACCACTGCTCACATGCTTTAAAGAGCCACAAAGGCAGCCTGTCCCCAAAGTCCCCACCCTCTGCCACGGTGCCTACATACCCTTGTCCAGGCTCTGTTCCTGGTTTTGCATGGGGAAGGGCTATGTAACTAACCTGAGGGGGGGTTTCTCCTCAGAAGTTTTCTTTTCAGTGATTGGAAATAATGCCTCCAGCCAGCCAGCCATTTACTGTCACATGAATTTCAGGAAGGCAGGGACTTTGTCAATCTTGGTGTCACAGTGCTTCTCAGCACAAAGTGGATACTCAACAAATATTCACTGAATGAAATAATGTCTCATTCTACTTCACTTCTCCTTTCACCTACCTCTCCATTTGCCCATCCATCCACATCCATCCATCCATCCATTGGTCCATCCATCCATCCATCCATCTATCCATCCATCCATCCATCCATCCATCCATCCATCCATCCATCCATCCATCCATCCATCCATCCATCCATCCATATCCATCCATCCATCCATCCATCCATCCATCCATCCATCCATCCATCCATCATCCATCCATCCATCCATCTATCCATCCATCCATCCATCCATCCATCATCCATCCATCCATCCATCTATCCATCCATCCATCCATCCATCCATCCATCCATCATCCATCCATCCATCCATCTATCCATCCATCCATCCATCCATCCATCCATCCATCCATCCATCCCTCCCTTTCCTGATTCAGCCAACATTTGATTGAATTACCTTTGAGTATCTACAAAGACCCAGGCTCTCTTGTCCTTGACCCTGAGCTCTTTCTCTCATTGGTGCTGGTGCTGAGCTTAGAGAGAATACCTCAATCCCAATAAACACCATCAGCTTGCAGTGTTTACTCAGTCAACCAATAAATGCTGCCATTCCCTCTTCCCTGAGCTGGGTGCTGTGGGGCATAGTCAGATGGAGGCCTGTCTCTGCCTTCAGAAGGTCTCAGCCTGAAGGGCAGCCAAGACAGGCCCACAAAGTACCAGAGCTTATCTTAGTTGAGCACCTACTTACTGTGTACTGGACTATGTCCTCAGCACAGGTACATCTGCTCTCATTAATTCCCAACATCCCCAAAGGGAGTATTGTTATCCTGATTTTATTGATGCAGAAACTGAAAATCAGAGAGGTTAAATGACCGGCCCAAGGCCACACAGCTGCTTAGTGGCAGATCTTGTTTTCCTCCCAGCCTCTAGGCATCCCGCTGTTCTAAACAGCCTTAAATACCAGGTAGAAACACCATGTTCCAGAATATACCCCCAAATGTGCTGAGATTTGCACAAGGGAGAGACTACTTCCCACTGCAAGTAATCAGGGGAGGCTTCTTGGAGGAAGAATCCTTTAGGCTGGTCCTCAAGGACTGCTAAGAGGCTTACAGGCAGGAAAAGACAAGAATGTTCTGGGTCTCCCAGCAAGGTGATAGAGGGAGAGAGGGCTTGAGCCATTGCTCAGGTGTGTGACCTGGACAAGTCATTTAAGCTCTCTGAGCCTCAGTTCCCTTACCTGTAAAATGGACATGATAATATCTGTTTCACAGGGTGGTTGTGAGAATAAAGATTTTTAAGTATCTGGACCCTTAGAGTAGGGTTTTCTCGACAGCAACACCATTGACATTTTGGACCAGATAATTCTTCATCATGGGAACTGTCTTGTGCACTGTAAGATATTTAGCAGCATCCCTGGCCTCTACGCACTAGATTTCTGAGCATCCCCCAACCAAAAATGTTGAGACATCTGTAGTAACAAAAATGTCTCCAGAAATTTGCCAAATGCCCCTGATGGGCCAAATCACCCACTGAGAACCACTGCCTTAGAGATACCCACAAGGATCTTCCCTCGCCTCCCTCAATGTCCCCTTCTCCAAGGGTCTTCCCTGACCCCTACTTAAAATCTCAACACCTCCCCCTGCAACCCTCTCTCTCCATATATATTTTTTTAAATCACAGCCTGTTTTTCTAACAGACCGAATTGTTTACTAATATATTTTTTGTATCATCTTGTCTTCCCCAGTTGGTGCTCAGCACTCTGAGGTCTGGAATCTTCGGGAGTTTTATCCATTGATGTGGCCTCAGCCCTTACAACAGTGCCTGGCACATAGCTGATGTCCACTAAATATTTGTTCAGTGAATGAACAAAATGCACAAGGAAGCGCTTTGTGACACATAAAATTGTAACCAACGAAGGAATAGAGGAATTTTTATTTAAATTCCACGGGGGCCTGGATCTAACACTCTGAAGTTAGCCTTCCCTGCCTTCCCCATCCGCCTCCACAGCTAATCAGGGGGCAGACTACAGCAGCTTAAAACAGATTTTTTTTCCTCTTTCTTGCTGGGGCTTGAGTAGGAGTGAATGCGTCAGTGCTCGGCGAGAAAATTCTCTGCTCTGACTTGTATCTGCAGGTTGGTTATATAAAGCAGAGGAGCCTCCCGCCCGACACAGCCCCGCAAACCCACATTTGGGGACTGACGCAGCCGCCCTGCACCAGCTAGAAACCCCCAGCACCCCCCCAACCCCCACCCCGGGGCCTCTCTGGCTTCAGGACTGCCCCCTCGTCCTGCGGGGGGGCTCTCAGGGCATCTCTCAGAGCCACAAATGACAGTGTGGGTGAGGACCTCCAAGGTGGGCCTGGCCAAATGCCAGGAGGAGGAGGCAAAACTCAAGCTCAGAAAGGTTGAAATAGTGTATCTTCCAGCAAAGTCAGTGACCAAGATTAGGGCAGAAACCTGATGTCCTAAAGCCTTAGGCTATAAACAGAGTGTCCAGGGTACCCTCGGCCCGCTCACCACCCCCTCCCTCTTCATCTTAGCATAGGAACCCTTCCCCCTGCACCCACCGCCAGGCTTCCTATAAGTAATCGTCCTCCTCCCACTTCCAAAATACCCTCATAGGCTTTGGAGCCCCACGGCACCAAGAGGCAATAGTTATATTTAAAGGTGCAGTACCTGGGACCAAAGAAGGCAAGACCCCACTCAGGGTCATGGCTATGGCAAAGCGACCTCCATCTGACTCCCTGTCTTTCAGTGCTCACTATCTCCAAACACCTCTGGCCTCGGGGTTCAAGCCCACAGGGCAGGAGGCTAGCAGCCCTTGGCCCCTACTGCCCCCCACCCACCTGTTCCCTGGCCCGCTGGTTGGTCTCCCGCACATAGAGGGACTCGAAAGACAGTGTGTTCCATAGGGGTGTCCTGGAAGCTTGAGACCATTTTCATCCTCCCAGACTTGCTGTGTGCCCCCAAGGCTCACTTGCTGTGAGCCTCTCTGAGCCTCTATGTGCCAGCCGGTCTAGCTCAAACAGTTCTCGGAGGCCATGTGGCCCACAGAGGTGGTGAGCACGCAGCCAGGCTCTCTCCTGCCCTACTTGCTGGCTCTGCATCCTCGGGCCAGTTTCTAGACCTCCCTGGGCCTCCATCTTAATCATGTCAGTGGGATGAATACATCATGCCCTACCGTGTCCTGGGCTCCAGAGAGCCAGTATCTGGAGGTGAAAGCCTTTTCTGAGCTATGCTTGGAGAAGGAGGACAGTATCATGGTCGAGATACAGGCAGAGGGACTGGGGCTGCAGACCAGAACGAGCAACAAGCCCAATCCATGGTCTGCAATGACCTTGATCTCTACTGGTCCTGGGCCCCTACTCGAAATCAGGGCAGGAGAAAATCCTAACTGTGACTTGAGACTCAGGAGTCAGGGTTTCAGGTTACACATTAACCCCGGCAGGGGAGACCTAGCCCACCGTAAACCAGGGCCTCCCCCCACCCCACTCCGCCCCCACGAACCTCCTCAGCCTTCCCTGTCCCCCTCCCCCCAACACCCCCTTTGTGCCTGGCACCCTCCTCTTTGCGCTGCCAAGCAGTAGCCCCCTTGCTCACTGGGCCAGGCGGGCAGTCCCTGGAGCCTGGAAATCTTTCCGGCGGGATGGGCAGCCCCAAATCTGGGGTCAGGGAGGAGTCCAGCCCCCTCCACCACACCCTCTGGAAGGAGCTGCTGTGTGGACCTTACCCAGGTGGGGTCTGGGGGCCCTGGTATCAGGCCTGAAGGGCACAAGTGGGGCCAGAGGCTCCCCTACCTAGCTCGTGCAGGAGCCCGCCCCACTCACCGGCCAGCAGCGCGGTCAGATGGCAGAGGGCGGCCAAGCGGAGCAGCCCCCAGAAGGGTGGAGGAGCCATGGCTGCGGACGGCCAGGGGTCCAGGCGGGGGTCCAGGCGGGGCCGGGCCGGTGTCTGAGCCAAGTGCTCTTCCCTCGCTGCCTGAGCTCTGTCGCTTTTTATAATGGGGCTTGCTGCCTCAGCCTCCGCCTCCAGCCCGGCAGGCCGCGGGTGGGAGGGGAAAGGAAGGGAGCCAGCCAGCGTGCGGCTGCTGGATTCCTCAGGATGTTGCCAAGGAACCGAGCCAGCTCAGGATCTGCGCTCCGGCCTGCCAGGGGAGGGTGGGGGAGGAGGAGGCTGGACCAGGCCTGAGAGCATTCAAAGGGCCTTCTCTCCCCCCCCCGACCATCTGCTAGGGCTACCCACCTCGGGTAGCCCTAGCCCTAAGCGGGCCATGAAACAAAAGGGCAGGCTGGGGAGTGCTGGCTGCGGGCAAGCCAGGAGGGACTCAGGACCCTAGAGTCTAGCTCTGACAAGCTCTCCTTTGCTCTGGGAGAGGTATCTCTCCCACATCATGAAGGACCCCAACCTTGCCCCCTTGAAGCCCCAGCTCCTGCAGGGGCCTTATTCATCAGTGTATCCCCGAGCCCAGCATGGAGCCTGGCAAACAGTAGGGGCTCAGTCCAGTCAACGTTTGCTGGAAGAATGATCCAGCCCAATTTCATAGGGACAGATGGGGAAACTGAGGCCCAGAGAGGGGGTGGGATCCCTTCAGGTCACTCAGAGTGCTAGGGTGGAGACCAGACTAGAGGTGCGCAGGGCTGTGTGCAGGTTAGGACACAGAAAAGAGCCCTGGCCTCCCTGCCTCCAGCTCCTCAATCTCTCCTTTCATCCTCCACACCCACGGCCAGCCCTGGCTCTAGCCCCTGCAAGGAACGTCACGGCCACCGGCCTCACCCTGGGTCATTCGGTGGTCTCGGCTTGTTCTTGGCTCGGCAGGTGCCCTAGGGGAAGTCCTGCCTCTCTTGGGGGCCTCAGCTCCCTCTCTGCACAGGAGGGAGTTGGGCTCACCCACTGGGGAGGGAGCTTCGCAGCTCTGACTTCCCAGCTCCTCGCTCCGTTCCAGGTGAGGCTGGGAGGACCAGGTGGGACCAGCCAGCTCCCACCAGCCTGGTAGAAACGCCTCAGGTGTTGCTCCAGCACAGCCTTCCCTGAAGACAATGGCCACAGTCGCTGAGACTCTAGAAGACTCCAGCAGTCGCCTAGCCCAGCCTGGTGCCCAAGTTAACCATGAACCCACCACTCCCATCTAGGTGTCTCCAGCAACTAGCCAGCCGGAAACCAGTGTGCCTGTGAGCCACTGCCCCAGGCTATGGAGCCAGCTGGTTAAGGCTGGGCTGGGCAGAGAGGTCTCAGCTCCCAAGGCCAGAGGCTCCCCGTCTCACCCAGCACAGTAGGGGGGCTGGGGCACGGAGGTGGGAGGCTGGACACGCCTTCTTGATGGGGAGGAGCACCCCTGGCACGGGCCAACTGCATTCAGGCTCAGAGAATCCATCCCAGTCCATGCAGCTATAAAGCAGGTGACCTTCACGTTTCCGTTGTCCAGTCCCTTCATCTTATGACTGAGAAAACTGAGGCCCAGAGAGGGACAAGGTGTGATAACACCTGCAGTCCAAGGTTCTTTCTGCTCTGCCCATGGAGGTAGGAGCAGATGACAAACGGGGCAGATGGAAGGGGAGAAAGAAGAGAGGGAGGAAGGGAAGGGAAGGCGAGCAGTGGGAGAAGAAGGGGCAAGAGACAGAAGGGGCTGGGGAGGGGAAGGCGTGTGGGGAGGAGAAGGAGAGGCAAGGGACAAGTCCTGGGAAGCCCCACACTTCATAAAGGCCAAAAGCCAGGTTGGGCAGGGATTTGGAGGGTTAAGATCCTTGTTCCCTTGGGCCAGACTTTGCTCCAAAGAAGTACTTAGGAAGAGGGGGCTTTGGAATCCGATGGCCCCGGCTCTGGCACACTACTGTGTGATCTTCGGCAGCTTCCCTACCTCTCTGCGTGCACACTTACTCCGAGACAGGCACTGTTTGAAGTGCGTTGTATGATTAACTCGGGTCACCAGGACCCGGCGTGTGAGCAAAACACCACTATCGTGGTCCGTTATATGGGTGGGGAAACTGAGGAATGCAAGAGTTAAGTAATTTTCCGATGATCACCAGCCAAGAAGTGGGGGAGCCTGGGTTTGCCCCAGCCCCCTGGACTTGGGGTCTGAGCTCATGACCAGGAGGCTACACCACTTCCCTCCATCCCCACTGTGAGGACAGCTGAGAATTAAGTGAGTTGACGCCCAGAAGGTGTCAAAACACGAAGTACAGCTCTGCTTTTCCTTGCTCAGCCCTTGAGGACATCCCCTACCCTCTTCCGGCCCAGCTCCGCCCCCCACAAAGTCGGAATGGGCAGCCCCATCTATCTTACCCAGGCGTTAAGGACTAAGTGTTGATGATTCTGTTTGGACACAGGAACTAGGCTTTCAGGTCAGCCAAGACCTGGAGGCAAACGTGATCCCACCACTTAGAAGAATCACCTTTGGCAAGTTACTTAACCTCTCTGAGCCTCAGCTTCCCCATCTGTAGAATGGGTTGCTAATAGTCACTTTACCAACTCACTCACTGGGGGAGGTCATAAGACGAAGGACTTTCGCAGTGCCTGGCGTGCAGGAGCCATTGGGGTTTGCTAGTAAGCCCTGGTGTGTGCCTGGCACCGTGGTGGGACCGGGGACCCAAAGGCAAATACGCCAGGTTCTTGCTCCAAGGAGCCCCAGCTCAATAGGAGAGAGAAGTCCTACCAGAGACTCTAAGGCTGTGGGCCTTTATACTCCTCCAGGAATCAAGGAAAGCAGGAATGAAAGACAATGTTTCGATCAGAAGAGGGGCAGACTTTTGCCTTGTTTCTTTTATGCTATTGTTTTGAAAATTCTAAACCGAGGCACCTGCGTGGCTCAGTCAGTTAAGCGTCCGACTCTTGATTTTGGCTCAGGTCATGGTCTCAGGGTCCTGAAATCGAGCCCCCCTGTTGGACTCCAAGCTGGGCATGGAGCCCGCTTGAGATTCTCTCTCTTTCTCCCTCTGCCGCTACCCACTCCCTGCTCATGCGCGCAGCCTCTCTCAAAAAAAACTAAAAAATAAAAATAAATTTTAAAACATGATAAACAATAAAGAAGAAGGAATGGAACAAAGACTTTTCATATCTCTGGCACCTAAATTCAATGATTAGCATTTTCCTCTTATGGCTTCTTCTTCTTCTTTTTTTTTTTTTTTTTGCCAAGCCATTTCAAAGTAAATTATGGATGTCTGAAACTTTGCCCCTAAAACCTTCAGCATGCATCTCCATAGTATAAAGATGCACTATCTTACATAAATATACTATTATCCCACCTAACGAAATTAACAATAATTCCTATCTGTCGTGTAACATTCAGTTAATAATTAAATTTCTCCATTGTCCCCAAGATATATTTTATAGCTTCACCTTCCTTTGTCTTCCCTTCTTTCTTTGCCCCTTCCACTTCCCTTTCTTCCCTCTTACTTTTACTTTTTGAACCAGGATCCAATCTAGGTTTATGCCATACAGATGACATTTCTTTCTTTTTTTTTTTTTTTAAAGATTTTATTTATTTATTTATTTGAGAGAGCAACAATGAGAGACGGAGAGAGAGCACATGAGAGGGGGGAGGGTCAGAGGGAGAAGCAGGCTCCCCGCGGGGCAGGGAGCCCGCTGCGGGACTCGATCCCGGGACTCCAGGATCATGACCTGAGCCGAAGGCAGTCGCTTAACCAACTGAGCCACCCAGGCGCCCCGCAGATGACATTTCTTTTTAAGACTAAAACAGACCCCCTGCTCATTTTTCAAGGCATTGACTTTCTGAAGAGTTTCAAGACTGTTGTCTTTTTTTTTGCCCAAGGTTTATTGAAGATAATACAGCACAGCAAAAGAGATCTAACTCATAGGAAAAGACTACTGTCTTATACACTGTTCCCATTCTTAATTTATTTAAATTGTTTCCTTGTGATGTCATCTAATTCATTCCCCTAACTTATGCTCTTCCTGTAAACCGGCATTAGAACTACAGACTCGATTAGATACGGGCTACATAGAGTTGGCAAGAATCTGGCATGAGTCATACTCTGTACTTCACGGTGCACCTTACATCCACCACGGCAAAGGCTGTCACGCTGCTCGTGGTGGGTTGGTGGGCAACCAACCCCTAGACCTCTGGCTGGAGAAGTGTCAGCCCCTTTGTGATTTGTAAGTAACCCGCCCTGCGCCGACGGGCCAGATTTTGACATACTATTCCAGGCAGAGGGCAAACCTAACCAAGGTAAAAAGGGAATGGGGAATGGTCTGATGCCATGGGCTCTGAGGAAGGAGTGGGCAGGAAGGCTGCCATTGGACACCTGGAAGCTGGAGTGAGGAACGAGAGTCCTGTTCAGGGGCAGAGGGGAGCTGGGGGGCTTCTGAGCTGAGGAATAATTAGAGCAACAGTTGGAACAGCCCTGGGCAACAGGACAAAGGGTTTCCTCGGGCAGTTAGTGGACAGGAGCGGTTGGAGCATCTCTGCCCACACCTTCCTCGGGCCATCTGCCAGCCTGCCTGGGTGCCCCAGGGAGCAGGCAAGCCTGCATATTCCTGTGGGACGCGAGGGACTCCCCTAGACCCCAAAGCAGAACAGAAACAGCTGTGGGGAGTAGGGCGGGGCCCCCAGGACACTCCAGTGGGGCCCCAGGATGGTAGGAGGGCCACCCCCAGGGCCCCTGGGGGACGATCCTGCCTAATTCTTCCCCGCCTCACCCCACTCTGCTCAGCTCACCTCTTTGGGTCCATAAGAAGAGCCGCTCACATGTACTTGGCCCTTCCCCCCATCTGGGCACCTGCCTGGCCACACCCTCTTTTATACTGTGGTAAAATATCCGTATCGTGAAATTTACTTTTTAACCACTTCTAAGTGTTCCGTTCAGTGACATTAAGTACATTCACAGTGTCGTGCAACCATCACCGTCATCCATCTTTAGAACTTTATTATCTTGCCAAACTCAACTGCCGGCCCCATCAAACAATTAACTCCCACTTCCTCCTTCCCCCCAGCCCTCCGGCAACCACCAGTCTACGCTCTGAGTTTCACTACTGTAGGAATCAGACAGTATTTGTCTGTCTGTGACTGGCTTATTTCACTTATCATCATGTCCTCTAGGTTCATCCATGTTGTAGCAGGTGCCGGCACTTCTCTCCTTTTTAAGGCTGAATAATATTCCGTCGTATGTGTGCACCATATTTTGCTTCTCCACTCACCAGTCAGACACGCGGGCTGTTTGGTTATTGTAGAGAATGCTGCTATGAACATGAATGTACAAATATCTCGTCAAGTCCCTGCTTTCAATTCTTTTGTGTATATCCCCAGAAGTGAGATTCCTGGCTCATACGGTAATTCTACGTTTAATTTTTTGAGGAACTGCCCTCCTGTTTTCCATGGTGACTGTTCCATTTTACATTCTCACCACCAATGCACAAAGGTTGCCATTTCTCCAAACCCTCACCAATCTTGTCTTTTTTTTTTTTTTTAAGATTTTATTTTTAAGTAATCTCTACACCCAGCGTGGGGCTTGAACTTACAGCCGAGATCAAGAGTCATGCTCCTGAAACCAATTCACTGAATTTAAATAAAAATAAATAAATTTTCAAAAAAGAGTCATGCTCTATTGTTTGTCTCTTTTATAGTAGCCGTCCTAATGGGGGCGAAGTATCATCTCCTTGTGGTTTTGATCTGCATTTTCCTGATGATGTGGGATGCTGAGCATCTTTGCATGTGCTTGTTGACCATTTGAATATCTTCTTCGGAGAAATACATATTCAAGCCTTTGCCCATTTTGTTATTAGGCTGTCTGTACCTTCTTATCTCCTTGGATTCTCACAATCTTGTGCACTGATACCTGCTTTTATTGCCCTCTGATCACAGAGGGAGAGATTGAGGCTCACAGGGACCAAGCAGCTTGCCCCAGACACCAGTCAGCGAGAGTTCCTGGGATTGTCTGAATCCATGACATGTGCCCTTCCCAAAGCCTGTCCCTGCCTCCCAGACAAGTGCTCTTGGTGTCTGAAGCCGCTGCGCTGGATATCCCACCGTGAGAGCCAGATCTAAAGGGGAGTAAAGACCACCAGTGCCAAGATGTCTGCAGAGCGATGTTTAAACTGACATAATAAAGATGTCCCAAGGACGGAGGAGCCCTTTTCTGTTGTTCTGGCAGAATGAGTTATGTCTAGAACTCCAGGAAAGCGGGCCCATGTGAGAGTCCAGAGGAGTCAGCACCACATGAACTAGACACTCCCCATACTCCTCCTCCCAGACACACAGCTTGGCTGTACTTCCCAGCATCCCTTGTGGTCAGGGTGGCCATGTGACTGAGCTCTGCCAACGGCAGGTGGACAGAAGCCAGAAGCCCCCTTCCCAGCCTGGCTCCCACCAGCCTCACTTTCCTGTAGAGGAGTCCAGGTCCTGGAGGAGGGCAGGACCAAGAGAAGGAAGGAGCCTGGGTCCTTGAATGGCCATGTGCAAGGTCACCTACAGACCAGGATCAGATGTCACGGGAGAAGAAAAAAGCTTGTGTGGAATCGAGCCACTGAGATTTTGGAGCTCTTTGTTGCAGGAAGCAACCTTTCCTAACTAATACACTCTCCTCTGCGTTGACACTTGAAGGGGGAAGGTTGAGGTTGGGTTATTAAATCAGTGACTAAATGAATGAATGAATAAATGAATGAATATGTTGCCTGAAGCTCTAGACTTGGGGACTGAATGAGTGATTTCATCAGATCCTCCTGACAAGAGGTTTGGCAGGGGCCAGGCCTGGCGGACAAATGTCTGGGGTTTGGCACCTGTGCAGCTATTCCCCAGGTCCTCATGTCTAGTCCTGGCTCCCCACCGCCTCACAGGCTGACCTTGGGCAGGCCAGCTCACACGTCAATAACGTCAAGGGCTTCCCCACTGGGAGAGAGGGGGCCACCAGCCCACCTTACCGGGACAGCAGATGCCAAGGAAGCAAGCAGACACTGTTGTAGAGGATTTATTTCTTCAGAAGGCCTGAGCGACACGGGCAGGACAGGAGCGGAGGGGAAATCCCAGGATGCTGGAGGGCCCTGTGCACGGGCAGTGGGCAGGTTAGCACTCCAGGGAAGAGTTTTATTCCCCATGTCTTGGACCTAAGTCCCGCAGCCACCCCATAAAATGGGTATTCCCATTCTCAAGTGAGGCTCAGAGAGGTTCAATGGTCTCAGAATCCCAGAGCAACGACCACCCTGCTGCACCACCCCAGGCCCCCTCGGAAAGAAACAAGCACTTATAAAGTTTCTTTCTTTTGCCTGGTGAATCTACGTTCCCCAAGGAAGTGCAGATAAGCCCCAAATCCCAGTCCTTATGCTGACCCCTGCCACCTGAGAACAATCTTCACCCAAGGCTCTTTCATTTAACTATGCCCCGCACACTCCCAGGGCCAGAAAAGCTCCGCCTTGTCCCCCTCCCACACAGTTCTTAAAATTCTTCCATTCATCCACTTGGCCTCTTAAGCATTTGCCCTCTTTTCTTATAAAAATACAGCTAGAGTTTGTTAATACCAAGCCAAGGGTAGTCATTCACACCATAGCGAAAATTTGGTTACTGTTATTTGGGAAAAAAGAAAGGGAAAGTGGGGGACTCTGAAGAGGTCAGACCTGGGTGTTGGAGGTTGGAGGAGCAGTCAAGACCAGAGGGAAATAAGAGGAGTAAAGAGGTGACACATAAAAATAAAATGGGGAAGAAAGGTGAATCTGGGCAAATTTGAGGCTTCACAATTGACTCAGCTGGCCTCTTTCTAGATGAACTTGAGTCTCTGTATTGATGTGTGAGGGTCTTTGGGGGGCGAGAGCTGGGAGAGGAACATTACTTTTATTGATTCAGCCTCTAGCCATTCATTGAGCCCAGATTCTGAGCCAGGCCCTGTGCTCTGTGTTAGAGGCCAGGAGACAAAGTAACTCAGATGTGGGACCTTGGTCCAGCCAGTGGGGCTGAAGGACAAGCCCCCAAGTCCTGAGAATTCTGGGCAGACTGATCGGGGCTGTTAAGAGAGGGCAGAGGGTCAGGGGACATCTGAAAAATAAAACTCAATTGCTTGCTGCTTGGGTTGTGCAATGCCTTGGAGGGCCGGGAGGGCTGGACACACATAAGTGATGGAGAGACATTCTGGGCATCAGGAGCAGCCTGGAGAAAGACCTGGAAGTGGATGTGTACAGCATGAGTTTGGAAAACAGGGAGCTGGAGTCCAATATGCGTGAAGGGAACTGAGGCAGGGGTGCCAGGCTCCCGAGCTTTCACCTCAGCCTGGGGCAAAAATGGGGAGCCATGGGAGGGTTTTGAGCCAGGGAGTGACTGAGCAGGATTGTGGCCTCTTTGGCTATGGTAGTGGGGCAGAGGATGGTTTGGAAAGATAAGAGGGGAATTAAGTGACAGTGTGGAGGCTCGTCTGAGGGTGACAGCTTCAGGGAGACAGAGATAAAAGATGGTGGAGAGATTCGTTGGCACAGGCTTGTGTTGGGGGGCAGCTGTAATGGCAAGGAGGTGGGGTTCTGTGAGCCTTTCTGGACGAGCCGAGCCCATGAGTCCTCATGAGTCCAGTTTCTGGAGAATCTTCTTCACCCAGGGCATTCTGGGGTCAGCACAGATCTCCCGGTCCTTGACAGTTAGGAAGCTGGAAGGAGGAGAGAATGAGGGAGCATTAGCATGCGGCAAGAGTGCCACAGCCCTTCTCTGGAAGCTTAGCATTTATGTGTCACTTACTGTGTGCAGAGATGCCCACCATACAGAGTCACTTAGCATGTATGAGGCACCTGCCCCGTGCAGGAATACCTGCTATATAGAGTGGCTCAACATTTATGAGGCCCCTGCTGTATGTAAACACACTTTTCCAGGGGGCGAGGGGGAGAAGAGCAGCTAGGACTTCCTGGACTCTCAGTCCCTCGGTCCCAGGCTTGAGTGCCAGGTCAGGCCAGGGAATAAAATGCCCAGGAGTCTCAGGACCATTGCTGACATTGCCTTGGGGGAGAGAATATTGAGTAGGAGCCAAGAGCATGAGCTTTGGAGCCAGCTCATCTGGGTTAAAAATCCTAGCTCTGACATTGCTGGCAAGTCCCTTAGTTTCCACATCTGTAAAATGGGGATGATAATCATGGTCCAACCTCATAGGATTTGAATGAAGATTAAATGAGTTAATACAAACTGACGTGCTCAGAGCAGCTCCCAGCAGAGAGTAAGGCTCTGTGACTGCGCCAGGAGCTGGCCCGAACTCTTAACAATGATTTTCTAAATAAATCCTATGACGCCCTATTATTCTACCCATTTCATAGGTGAGGAAAGTAAGGCCCAAGGGGGTAAAGCAGCTTGCCTGACTGCCAGAGCTGCTACGATCTGATTCGCTGTGCCCCCAGGAGCCCAAAGAACAGAGAAGAGAGATAGGCACTGACCCAGGATCACACAGCAATCGTGGGCTAAGTCTCCCACCCTTGCCCAAGGTGTGGTAAGTAGCAGGCCAGGCCCTTGGGGGCACTCGGCCTCAGCCATTGTTGGAAGAAATGGACTTAAAGCTGGCTGGAAGTCAGGGACATCCCCACAGCTCGACTCCCTTCCTGCCTCTCAAGAGCCTGTCCTTGGGGCCTGGAAGCTCCAGGCTCCCCTTACTCCCCTGACCTGCCCCCACCCCACGGACAACCAATGAACAGAAAGAACAAAGAAGGTGGCAATGTTGTTCTTGGCCACGTGGGCAGCCTGCCCGGCTGCACCGGGCAAGACTCAGCTCCTCTCTGAACCTCAATCTCCCCATTTGTCAAGACACATTCTCTCTAGAGTTCCTTCTGGCTCTAAATCCAATAATCACGTGTGCTGTCTTTTACTGAGCATCTATTATATGCCAGGCACTGAGCATTACACCTTCCACTTACTATTACCATGTCCTGTGCTGCTCAAGAGGTTCCATAACCTCTCTGTGCCCCCTGCCTCACCTGGCAAAAGGGGATCACAATAGTACCCACAACTTAGGGTTGTTTCAAGGACTAAATGAGTTCAAATTTATAAAGTGCTTAAACAGTGCCTAGCATTTAGCAATCACTCTTTACAGATTTGATAAATAAAAATAAATGAAGGAAGGGTGCCTGCACGCTCAGTGGGTGGAGTGTGCAACTCTTGATCTCGGGTTTGTGAGTCTGAGCCCCTCTTTGTGGGGCTCTTGGCTATGGTAGTGGGGCAGAGGATGTTGGGTGTAGAGATTACTTAAAAGTCAAATCCTTAAAAAAAAAAAAAGCCAAATCCTTAAAAATAGTTAGATAGATGATAGATAGATAGATGATAGATAGATGTGATCGCTCCTGTTACAGTCATGGGGAAACTGAGGCTCAGCACTGAAGCCACACAAGCCCACTTCAGCCCTCTTTTTTATTCATCCACACACCCCTGTGAGAGGAGGAAGATGAAAAGATGGTGGAGCCTCAAAGGGGGTCATGAGGCCCCAGGCCCAGACACCCCGCTGAGCAGGTTGGCAGGCAGCAGTCTGGAGGGGCGGCCCCAGGGACAGGCCACGTCACCGGGCCAGTGGCAGTGGCCACCTCAGGCTCCAGGCCAAGGAAAAGGAAGCAAAGACATGGAGAGAGAGAGGCAAAAGAGACCAAGAACCTCAGGAGAAAGCCCTGAACGGGGATCCAGGAGTCCCGGTTCCAGCGGGGGCAGCCTTGAACAAATCACTCCCCCCCACACACACACCCCGCACCTGTTTCTCCATCTGCAAAATGCAAACGATCACGCTCCTCGTAGGAAGGCTGTGAGGGGGGGTGACCCGAATTCACACAGGAACGCTCAGAACCGCGCCTGGCCGCCTGGCCATGGGATACACTCTCTGTCAGCTCAATACTCTTTGGGGAAGAATGGGCTGCCTCAAATAACTCCCCGGGAGCTGGGGAGGATTCCAGATGCTTCTGATGGGAGCATCGCTGCTGACTCAGAGGCTCTGGGCACGCTGCCGGCACCCTGCTCCCCGCGCTACAGCTCCGCACTGCCCACGCACACACTCTATCGTGTATACCGACAGCCGGCGCCTGGCTCATTCAGCTCCGCATCCTCGGGACCCGGCGCGCGCCCCGGCACCCAGTAGGCGCCCCATTATATTTGTTGAATGACCACACGACTTCTTTTCTTGGTACACCCAAGCCTGGGCTGAGCCGTCTCAAGGATGGAGGCCAGTTGCACTCCCCCATCCCTGGGTCTGCCCCCGCCCACCTGCTCCCGGGCCCTCCTGGGCCGAACCTGGCAGGCTCTCCAAGGCCAGGCCCTGCCTCCCCAGCTCCATACTCACACCACGCCAGGCCTCCGGCACGAGTCTGAGGTCCAGTAGAAAAACTTCAGCATGCGCGGGGGCAGAGGGTGACGGAAGTAGTCCCGGCAACAGATACTGTCTTCCACGTTGGCGCCATAAGGACCTGGAGGAGGGGAGTGCTCAGAAGACTCACAAGCTGGACACAGGCAGGTCACCCTTGGCCCCAACCTCTGAGCCAGCACTTCTCTTCTCATGTGGAACGTTGGTGTCCCGAGGACTCTGAGCCCTCAAAGTCCCCGGGCTCAGGGTCTCTGAGGAGCACGAAGCGCCCAGTCTGGGGTGGGGGTGGGGGTGGGTCAGCTCCAGGGAGAGGGACACACAGCGACTGAGAATCAACAAAGCCCTGGGCTTCTAGGTGGGACCCGAGACCCTGCACAGGAAGGAGCCGCAGCTATTCCAAGTGAGGCCCATGCACCGGCACCATCAGCATCACCTGGGAGCTTGTCAGAAATGCTTGGCGCCCAGCCCCAGCCCGATCCCACTTCGGAGCTACTGGATCCAGACTCCAGGGGTGGGAGGGCTGGGCGTCTGCACCTTCAAGCTCCAGCCCTGCAGAGTCAGATGTGCATTTTGAGGAGTCCCCAGGCAATCACAGAAGTCGGCTTCAGCTCACACCTACTCCAGACTTCGTGGTGCACGTGGGGAGGCTGAGGTTCAAAGAGGAGACTGTCTGGCCCAGGGTCACACAGCATGACTCTGGAGAGTCAGGATAAGGGCTCAGGCAGAGTCCAGTCGTGCAGACCTGGGTTCGAGTCCCGCTCTGCCCCGAGTCACCAGGCCACCCTGGGCAAGTTTCTTAACATCTCTGAGGCCCACTTGTCTCCTCTGACCAAAGGGGTAATGACAGTACCAAACCAATGGGGCCTTTAATGCAGGAAAAGCTCCCAGGAACCCCCCAAACTGAGTAATTATTGTTCCTAGCTGCCTGTCTCCCAGTCCAGTGCTCGTGCCCTGACCCAACACCAGAGATGTTAGGGACTCAGTGTTGAGGGTAGGCTCTGGAGCAAACGTGAGGTGGTAGGAGAGCAGGACCAGCTTTCCAAAAGAATATCCCTTACCCCAGCTCCTGCTTTTTTTTTTTTTAAGATTTTATTTATTTATTTGACAGAGAGAGACAGCGAGAGAGGGAACACAAGCAGGGGCGGTGGCAGAGGGAGAAGCAGGCTTCCCGCTGAGCAGGGAGCCCGATGCGGGGCTCGATCCCAGGACCCAGGGACCATGACCCAAGCCAAAGGCAGATGCTTAACGACGGAGCCACCCAGGCGCCCCCCAGCTCCTGCCCTTTCCCATCCCAGATGGCCCCCTTTGGTGGATCCTTCTCCATACCCCAAGGGTCCTATGCTTGAGTTCTCCAGACTAGAGGACCCCAGGCCATACCCCCTACCAGCTGAGACAGATACTAGACTCCAAGCCTTCGAGACTATCCATTTCACAGATGTGTAAACTTAGGCCCAGAGAAGTACCGTGACTAGCCCAGAGCCAGCAGCAAACTGGGATCATCTGCTCTCAGTCCGGTGCTCTTTCTGCTTCATGAGGAAGATACCGCAGTGTCTGACCCTGGCCCCCGCAGGGAGCCCTCCCTCTCCCCAGCCTTACCTGCCTCAGTTGCTTGAAGTGTCAGAGCAAGAAAGACAAGGGCAGCCAGGAGCAGGGTCTTCAGGCTGGCCATGTTCTTGTCCTTTGTGCCCCAGCCCAGGTGTCTGTAATCACCGGATGACAGGAAGGTCTGGTATTTAAACACTTGTTACACCCACAAGCCTCAGACACTCTTAGTCACTGGTAGGTTCAGAATCTCTGACATTCACATTATGAAAGAAGAACTCCCGCTTCCTCCAAATAAAAGGAAATTCTCTGTGGCTGGGAACAGCTCAGAGGGGACCCCCCACCCTGTCCTCCCCTCGGAGTCTCAGGAGACTCGTAAAATCCCCCACGAGCTGGGCTTCTTAGAGTCCTGTGCTCCTCAGGGTCCACGAACTGGACGGCCTTCACCATGTCGCTGGATGCCTCTGGGAATCAGTTTGCCCGTCTGGAAATGAGGGAGATGGTTTCACAGCCCTACCTATTTACCTCAGTGGTTGTTCGTAAGGCAGTGAGGATGTGGGCAGGGGCTGACCAGTCCTAAACCCTCACCTTGTAGCCTTGATGATCTTCATACCTGATCTCTCTTCAAAAGGAGAGGCCTGAGAACCTGTTGGGCTGGTTTCTGTGCCCCCCACCAGCATCTTCTACCGCTTCTCACAAAATCCCAACTTGGGCCAATGCATGATCTCCTCGACAGTTGCAAAGAGCTTCCACACATTTCCCTCCTCCCTGTTCTTCCTTCCCAGCTGTCTCCAGTCTCTTCCTCATCCACCCCCTTCTCCATCTCTCACCATATCCACTTCCTATATTTCTCTTGGATCTGTCCCCTCCCTCCCATGCCCATGGTCTCTGCCCAGTCCAGGCCCCTCCACCCCGGGCTCTGACGCTGGCCATCAGTTCTCCCTCTCCACACACAGCAGCCAGCGTGGCCCATGTTCAAAGCTACATGGGCCTCTCTCCTGCTTCAAAACCCTGCCGTGGTCCTTTGACCTGAGGGCAGAGCCCAAGCTCTGAACTGTGGACTTCAAGGCCTCCTTTCCAGACATGCTCCCTCCCACCCTGGTCTCCCTCCTCTGAGGAGTCACGCCACATTCCTCACACTTCCCCAAAGAGCTTGGCCATCAATGCCCTTTCTACTTCTCTACCGCATAAACTCCTACTCATGCATCAAGAGCCATTTGAAATGTCACCTTCTAGGTAAGCACACCCCCTCATGACTTGAAGGTTCTGTGGGGTGACCTAGAACATGGCCCTGAGCAAACTATGTCAAGTTTTCTCTTTCTCAGACCCCTTCCTAGAAGCCAAGCTCCACACTCTTGGAAGACAAGGGTCTGCTTATATCTGTCTTGGCATTTCCAGCATCTACCAAGAGTGGGGTACACAGTAGGTGGTCAGAACACATCCAACGAAGGAGGAAACTGAGGCTCAGAGAATAAGGGGACTTGCCCAAGGTCACACAGCCGGTAAGTGACCGAGCCAGCCTAGAAATTCAGGACTCAGCCCTCCATTTGCAAAGGGTCCCATCCACCCATTTATTCATTCATTCAACAAATATTTATTGAGCCCTGTAGTAGACAAAATAACGGTCCTCCCAACATGTCTTAATTCCCGAAATCTGTGAATATATGACCTTACATGGTAACAAGGACTTTGCAGATGTGTTTAAGTTAAAGATTGTAAAATAGGGAGGTTGTCTGGATTCTCCGGGTGGGCCCAATGGCCTGGAGTCATTATAAGAGTGGGTCAGACTCAGAGCAGGAGGTGGAATGAGGGAAGCAGAAGTCTGGGAGATGCAGAACCATGAGCCTGGGAAGGCAGATGGCCTCTGGAAGCTGGAAAAGGCATGGAAACAGATTCTCCTCTGGAGCTTTCAGAAGGAACATGGCCCGGTTGACACCTCGATTTCAGTCCACTGAAACTGACTGAGGACATCTGACTTCCTGAACTGGGTTTGTGTTGCTTAAAGCCACTATATTTGTGGTCATCTGTTACAGCAGCAAGAGGGAACTAATACAAGCCCCCGTCATGTGCCAGGATCCGGCACATGGCAGTGAACACATTCCCTGCTAGCGTAGATTTTACCCTGGAGGCTGACGATAAATAGGCAAATACCAAATAGGGTAATATCGGGCTATCGTGAGTGCCGTGAAGAAAATCAAACAGAGGAAAAGAGACAGTGACGATTGGGGAGCAGTTTTGGGTGGTTAGTAAAGGCCTCTATGAGGAGGTGACATTCAAGCTGAAATGCACAAGATACCAAGAAGCCTGCCAGGGAAGAAAAGGCAAGTGCAAAGGACCTCGCAGGGCAAGGGGCACCTGGGTGGCTTAGTCAGTTGAGTGTCTGCCTCTTGATTTCAGCTCCGGTCATGATCTCATGAGTCGTGAGATTGAGCCCTGCATCGGGCTCAGCGCTCCAGAGTCTACTTGAGGATTCTCTCTCCCTCTCCCTTTGCCCCTCTCCCTGCTTGCACGCTCATGCTCTCTCTCTCAAATGAATAAATACATCTAAAAAAAGGCCCTGACGGGGAGAGAGGGCTGAGCAGCTGGGGCAGAGCGGGTGGGGGAGCAGGAGGTGGCCAGGCGGTTCCTGTGAACCTTCGATGGAGAGTCATCAGAAGTACACAGCATCACCTGGGAAGACCTCGTGTCAGAGGGCGTTACCCAAGGCCAGAAGGACAGACACTGTATGATTCCACTTCTATGAGGTTCCGAGTCGTCAAATTCATAGAGACATACAGTAGAATGATGGTTGCCAGGGGCTGGAGGGAGGAGGGAATGGTTAGGGTTTAATGAGCCCAGAGGTTCAGTCTGGGAAGATGGAAAAATTCTGGAGATGGGTGGTGGTGATGGGTGCACAGCCATGTAAATGTACTTAATGCCGCTGAACTGTACTCTCAAAAATGGTTAAAATGGTAAATTTGATGTTATATATATTTTATCAGTTAAAAAAAAAGAATGGCTCAGTTGGAGGAGCATGATCTCTGGGTTGTGAGTTCAAGCCCCACGTTGGGTATAGAGATCACATACATACATAAATCTTAAAAAAAAAAAAAAAAGAAAGAAAAACGAAAGCATACGGAAAGATGCTCCACATCGTATGTCATCAGGAAAATGCAAATTAAAACAACAGTGAGGTACCACAACGTGCCCATTGGAATGGCCAAAATCTGGAACACTGACAGCACCAGATGCTGGTGAGGATGCGGACCAAGAACCCCAATTCATTGCTGGTGGGGATGCAAAATGGTCCAGCCACTCTGGAATGCAGTTTGGCAGTTTCTTACAAAACGAAACGTACTCCCAGCATAGGATCCAGTGATCACGCTTCTTGGCATTTCCCCAGAGAAGTTATTTATGTCCACACAAAAGCCTACATTCATATTCATAAATGCCAAAACTTAAAAGTAACCAAGATGTCCTTCAGTAGGGGGATGGATAAACTGTGGCATATTGAGCCAGTGGAATATTCTTCAGCACTAAAAAAGAAATGAGTTATGAGTTATCAAGCCATGAACAGACATGGAGGAATCTTACATTTACTTAAATATGACTAAGTGAAAGAAACCAGTGTGAAAGGCTGAATACTGTATGATTCCAAGTCTACGACATTCTGGAAAAGACAAAACTACGGACACAGTAAAAAGATCGGTGTTTGCCAGGAGTTAGGGAGAGGGAGAGATGAATAGGCAGAGCACAGAGGACTTTTAGGGCAGTGGAAATACTCTGTATGATACCGCAATGATGGGTATATGTCAATAGCATATATTTGTCCAAACTCATAGAAAATGTAAAGCCAAGGGAAACCATAACGTAAACAATGTGATTAAGTGTATGTCAGTGTGGGTTCACCAGCTGTAACAAATGGCCCACTCTGGCTGGGGATGTTGATAACGTGGGAGGCTATGCATGTGTCGGGGCAGAAGGTACATGGAAGTTCTCTGGACCTTCCTCTCAATTTTGCCGTGAACTTAAAACTGCTCTAAAAAACTAAAGTCTTTAAAAAAAAAAAAAAAAAGAAAGGATAGGTGTTACCCAGAATCTAATCAAGCTTCTAACTTCTAATCCTAACTTCTAGTTTGTAAGAAACACAGAGGCTAGAAGAAGATGAACGACCTCATGAGAAGACAGACATCTCCGGAAGGTAGGTCCTTCCAGCCCCTCTACAAGGTAACTATCCTGAGATCAACAAAAAGTCAATGTTGTTTAAAAAAAAAAAGTGGATAGGGACATTTAAGGTTAAGGAGATTTAAGAGACATAACAGCCCAATATGTGCAATATGTGGACTTTGAATCCTAGTTTTGGAATACCTGCTACAAAAGACATTTTGGGGACAGATGGGGAAATTTAAATATTAGATGATATTAGGGCTTTATTGTTGATCTGCTTAGGTGGAATAAAGACTTTAAGAATATGTAAGAGAACGTCCTTGTTCTTAAGAGATGCACACTAAAGCATTTAGGGGTGAAGGTCATAAGGACCTTACTTTTGAAGAGTCCATGTTCAGGGGAAATATATATGTGTGTATGTACACGTGTATATGTAGGTGTGTGTATATACAGATGTGTGTGTATATGTGTATATATGTATGTTGTGTGCATGTGTAAACATATGTGTGTGTTTGTATATAAGTGTATGCTTTGCGCATATGCGTGCGTGTGCATATATGTGGTTTTGTATGTCCATGTACTTGTGTATATATACTGATATCCCAGAGAGGGAAAGAGAGAGGCAAAGCAAATATAGCCAGATATTAACAATGTTGCAGTTAGGTGGTGGATATGCTAGCCCTCATTGAACTACAAAATTCCTCAGCATTTGAAGCGTTTCGTAACAGGGGCGCCTGGGTGGCTCATTCGGTTAAACGTCCAACTCTTGGTTTTGGCTCAGGTCATGATCTCAGGGTCCCGGGATGGAGCCCTGATTTGGGCTCCGTGCTGAGCGGGGCATCTGCTTGAGATTCTTTTCCCCTCCCTCTGCCTCTGCCTCTGCTCCTCCCCACCCCCTCCCCTGCCCCACACCCACAGGCACACGTGCACACATGCTCTCTCTCTCTCTCTTTCTCTCAAATAAATAAATAAATAAAATCT